ATAGTAAGTGAGGGTAGAAAGTATTTCAGAATGTGTATGGTCAGGAGGTCTTGCCAGTAGCTGGGCCTGCCCCTGCCTGGAGCCTGGGTACACTGTGTGGCTCACTATATCATTTTGTTTTGCTCCTTTTCCCTTTGGTAGTCTGCTTTTTTTTCCACCCTTGTGTTTTATATTTTCATCCTTTAAAATAAAAAGGTATATAAGTATAATTTTGAATGGTCCAGAAATCTGCTGTTTGTAGCAAGCTGGCCCCTGTGGGTCCCGGGCTCCCAGCCTCCTCCACCTCCCTCAGGCCAGGGAGTGACAGTCGCATACCCAGCCAGAAGGGTTATCACGAGAGTAAAAACAGGAACAACCATGGCATGAAAACCAACACACAGAACAAAAACCTTCAAATAACTACTGCTGACTGACTTAGAACTATCTAAACAGTGAGCCATGGGTGCCACAGATGAACTGAAATGGACTAAAATTCTGCCCATAGCAGGAAGAGCTGCAGGGTAGGACAGTGGCCCTGAGCTTGCAGACAGAGACCTCTTGGGCATCATCCCTCTGAGCCAGCTCTCGGGTGCCTTGGTCATAGAGGCCTGGAGGGAGGCTGGGGCACTTGGCTGCAGTGCATCTAGAAGCTGGCAGGAGTAGAACCAAGACCCTCCCAGAACATTTGAGACCCAACAAGCAAGGGTGGGGGGGGCTGAGCCTGTGGTGTCCTCACTGCTGTGTGGACACAGGCCCAGAGGGTGCTGGCTGGACTGCAGATATAAACCACCTTGGAAGGCTGGACTCTGACCAGGTTGACCAGGGCTGAATCAGAGAGGATATAACTCCACCCAATGGGGGTTATGGAATGGAGCAAAACGCACAGTGACAGCACAGACTATGTCTGCAGCACTAGGGGCGATGACTTAGGATGGCACCTGAGCACCATAGTGACAGCCAGGAAGGCAGAGTCTTGGCCAGTCTCAATGCTCAGCCTGCAGAGAATCTCCCCAGGTGCTGCATGCCAAGGAGCATCATCTGGATGGAGCAGTGTCTGGAAGCCACAGTGCTCAGGCAAGAGTACAGAACTGAGCATGATCAGCCAGAGAAACAAGGGCAGAGATTGCAGAGGCAGGACTCAAGCCAACACCAGCCAGAATCTACTAATAAGGTTTGGTCCAAATGTGGCACATTTTGTGTAGACCAAATAGACCCGACCTGGTGACAGGCAGTGTGGCCTGAGCAAAGCATTCCCCAGTTAGCAAGTGGACTGTAACCCTGTTGAGGTCACCTCTACCTCCATATTCACTGTCCTGTGAAGTCGGGAGACCACTAGTAGACACTCCAGCCAAACAAGAGGACTTTTTCAAGAGTGACCAAGGCTAAGGGGATCAAGACCACAGGCAGAGACGGAGCTCCATGTCAGTCACTGAGTCCTGGGTGCCATACTGAGGGGCCAAAAGCTCCAGGAAGAGAGTCCCTCTGCTGGGCACTCAAACTCAGCCCAGCTGTCCTTGGGTTTGGCATTAGACCGAGAGGCATCAGGTGTAGCAACACACTCAGGGTGCTGAAAGAGGGGCCCTGGGAGAATAGCTGGGAGATTCCTCTGTAGTGCAGACAAAAAGCTAAGCAGGCTCAGAGCCCAACCCTCACCTGATGGGCCTGTCTTGGCTGGGCACCCCCATTGTGTGAGTTGGACTAGGGTCCAGCTCAGAAGTCTCTGTGCCTATGGTTGAGCTGAGCCCCACTGTGGGGACAGTCCCAAGAAACAAAGGTTTGGGCCAGGGACTTGGGGCCTTTAGACAAACTTCCCCATAGTGGGCCCAGGGAGACTACCCATGGGAGCAGGGGACAGATGAAAGTCAGGCCTCATGCAGTCCCTTGCCCCATATGTAGCCCCTGGGCCTCTCTCACAAGGAGTCTTTCCACTTGTTGAGAACAGATCGATGCAGCACAGACTTAACCCCTTCTATGAAACTATAGGCACAAAGCACCTACAAACATAAGACAATGTGTTTCCTACTTCTGATGGTCACACAGGGACCAGGACCTGGCTGGAAGGGCAGCTATGCCCCACCAGGCCATCTGTCCCTGGTGTCTCTCCCAAACAGGAGCTACTGCTGGAGACTATGAAGGGAGGGCAGTTGAGAAGTGTGACAGGTCAAGAGACTGTGACTCTGACCCCTGACCCCACATGATGGGGACACAAGGACAATTCAGGGATGAACTGAGGCAGGCACCATTTGGTGCTGCAGTGTACATGTACAAATCTGAAACTTCTCATAGCTGCTGCCTGCACAGGGCACTCACTCTGAAAACACCAAACTTCCTGTTTTGTCACCTGAAACGTAGAAAGAAGGCACAGAACACGCTGGCATTCAGGCGTGTCTGGCAGAGCTCCAAGCATGAGTCTGACTCACTTTGGGTCCATGGCTTCTGCCCTGTGCTTTGCCCTCAGACACGCACTCTTTATCTTCCTCTCAGCCAGTGGGGGGAGGAGAAGTGGCACCACCACACAGAACAGTGAGAGTCGGGGGGGCAGAGCAGTTCCCGATGGCGCCTTCTTCTTCTGTCCAAACAGGAACTTCAGCTTCCCCTGGAACTGCATGGCCTGCAAGTAAAGACAGAGGGCAGGCAGGTCACAGAGTGCACAGGTGATGTGGCCAAGGATGCAGAGCCCCAGTGTCTGAAGGCGGCTCATAGCCACAAGGATACAGCGTGGAGAAGTCACTCCAGAAACAGGAGCCAACCATAGGCAGTGAGGATGTGGCTGTGAGCCTGCCCCTCAGACAGGCGGGTGAGTCCCTGAGTACCCCCAGGGCCTACAGGATGGCACATGGGTTTCTCTGGTGGCCTCATAAGAGGCTTTGACAAGTGTGTACTCAAGTGTGCATGCATGTGCATGCCAACCTACACAGGTGGGCATGGTTGTGCACCGGTGTGGCCGGTCACCAACCTGAGGCCAAGCCAATATCCAGCCCCTAGGAGGAATTTTCAAGAGGACATTCTCTGAGGATGATTCCACTTCCTAATTATCATTCCTTCATTCATAATGATAAAACTTAGGGACAACCTTATTTTATCTAGAATGTGTAGTGAGTTAAAGCCAGCAAGAAACTTAGGAGTTAGTGATAAAAGAAAATGAAAGCTCCCTCTGTAAAACAAAGGCTGATGTGTAATTAAGTCAGTCCCCAGTGTCATAGGATATGCAGCCCTGTCCTTTCTCCTTCCACATATCCCTCTACCTGTCCTCTCATCTCCCATCCTCTGTCTGTCCATCTGGCCATTTGTTCATCTCCTTCCCCCCAGCCTTTCATCTGTCCCTCCGTCCCTCGAACTGCCCATTGCAGCCTTGCCAGCACCTATAGTGCTCCCCACATACTTGGTGGAGGAGTCAAGGTAGTGGTGTGCTGGGAAAGCTGAACATCCAGCTCTCCAGGGAAAAAAAAATCCCTGATTTATAGTTTTCCCCAATTTCTTTTGTGTAAGTATTCCCATCATGTCTGATTTCAATCAACCAAATTGCAAAATTCCTAAAATGTTAATAATCAGTTCTGTGGACAGCATGAGACATCACCCTGTCATGCTGCCATGCCTAATGGTGGCGTGGTGGCTGCTGCACACTGTCACAGCTAGAGTGGGACTGAGCTGGCAGATCGCATGGGGTCACTGTGTATTCAGATTGCCCATCCCCAGCATGTTCTTCCTGAAAGCCTGAGCCCTTCACAGGCTGTGTGATGAGGGATTTCACATCGAAATATGATAGACCCTTATTTTGGAGGTCTTGTTGCAATGCATTAGCTTCAGACTAATCTCTCTGACTTATTGCCTCCATTCAGTTCTTTGTTTAAGAGTTTCATCTTAAATTATATTTAGTCTCTACACAGTGAAGCCCTTCCCATTTTGTGTCATCTAGAAATACAAGTTTCTAATTAACCAAGAATTGGTTACATAATTTTTTAAATGAACATTTCTAACCAACCAGTGAGTAGCATCTTAATGTCCACAATATTTAAAACAAAATAATATCAAAATAAAAGACTTCATTGTTGACTACTATCCAAGTCAGAAGGGCAAGGTAAGGGGCAGCAGGGCTGGTGCTGAGGTGGAGGCTGGTCCTCTTGTGAGGAGCCCTGAGGAGTGGAGGCCCAGACACACACAGACACCCCACACACATGCAGACCCACGGGTGCTCCCCCAGACATATGCAGACTCACAGGTGCTCCCCAAGACACATGCAGATGCACTGATGCTCCCCCAGACATATGCAGACACACAAGTGCTTCCACAGACCCATGGCTGCTTCCCCCCACACAGACCCACGGGTATTCTCACACACACTCAGATCCATGGGTACTCCCCCCAACACATGCAGACCCATGGGTGCTCTCCCCCATGCAGACCCACGGGTGCTCCCACACACACAGACACACTGGTCCTCCCCCAGACACACAGATGCACTGATGCTCTCCCAGATACATGCAGATGCTTTGGTGCTCCCCAAGACACACACAGAAGCACTGATGTTCTCCCAGACACACACAGACTCATGGGTACTCCCCCAGACACACGCAGACTCACAGATGCCCCCCAAGACACATGCAGACACACTGGTGCTCCCCCAGACATATGCAGATGCATGGGTGCGTGCCCAGACACACACAGATTCATGGATGCTCTCCAGACACATACAGACTCATAGCTGCTCCCCAAGACACATGCAGACATGCTGATGCTCCCCCAGACACACGCAGACTCATGGGGGCTCCCCAGACACACACAAACTCACAGTGGCTTCCCAGACACACATGCAAACTCACAGATGTTCCCCTAGACACACGCAGATTCATGGGTGCTCCCCAGACACATGGAAACTCATAGGGGCTCCCCAGATACACGCGGACTCATGGGGGCTCCCCAGACATACACAGACTCACAGGGTTCCCCAGACACACAGACTCATGGAGGCTCCCCAGACACACTCAGACTCATGGGAGCTCCCTAGACACATGCAGTCTCACAGGGGCTCCCCAGACACATGTAGATGCACATGTGCTCCTCCAGATACATGCAGATGCACACGTGCTCACCCAGACACACATAGGTGTATATGTGCTCCCCAGACACATGCAGATTCATGGGTGCTCCTCAAGACACATTCAGAGGCACTGATGCTCCTCCAGACACAGGCAGACTCATAGGTGCTCACCCAGACACACACAGATTCACGGATGCTCCCCAGACACATGCAGACGCCCACATGCTCCCCAGAAAACAGATGCACATGTGCTCCCCAGACACACGCAGATGCACATGTGCTCTCCAGACACACGCAGATGCACATGTGCTCCCCCATATGCAGATGCACACCCACTCCCCCACATGCAGACGCACACATACTCCCCAGAAACACGCAGATGCACACATGCTCCCCAGACACATGCAGGTGCACATGTGCTCCCCCACATGCAGACGCACACGTTCTCCACAGACACATGCAGATATACACATGGTCTCCAGACACACGCAGAAGCACATGCACTCCCCAGACACATGCAGACGCACATGTGCTCTCTAGACACACGCAGATACACATGTGTTCCCCAGATACAAGCAGATGTATACGTGCTCCCCAGACACACGCAGACGCACACATGCTCCCCAGATACATGCAGATGCACACGTGCTCCCCAGACACATGTGGATGCAAACGTGCTCCCTCTGTGGGATGTCTGGGCCTGAGGTCCTGTAAGATGCCCCTCCAGGGATCTTCTCACCAGCAATGTGGGCTTCATGACCCAAAAGAATTATTTCAACCAAGCTGCATTTAAAAAGAATCCATGGCTCGGCACCTATAGCTCAACCGGCTAAGGCGCCAGCCACGTACACCTAAGGTGGCGGGTTCAAATCCCCAGCCCGGACCCGCCAAA